AAGAAAGAAAGAAAGAAAGAAAGAAAGAAAGAAAGAGAGAGAGAGAGAGAGAGAGAGAGAGAGAGAGAGAGAGAGAGAGAGAGAGAGAGAGAAAGAAAGAAAGAAAGAAAGAAAGAAAGAAAGAAAGAAAGAAAGAAAAAATGGACTTCATCAAAATTAGAACCTTCTGTATATCAAAGGACAGTATCAAGAAAATGAAAAGAGCCAAAATTGTTTGGCTCAGTGGATAGAGCGTCGGTCTACAGACTGAAAGGTCCCGTGTTCGATTCCGGTCAAGGGCATGTACCTTGGTTGTAGGCACATCCCCAGCAGGGGTTGTGAAAGAGGCAGCTGGTTGATGTATCTCTCTCATCGACATTTCTAACTCTCTATCCCTCTCAATTCCTTTCTTTGTAAAAATCAATAAAATATATTTAAAAATTTTTAAAAATTAAAAAAGAAAGTGAAAAGACAACCTAGAGAAAGGGAGAATATATTTGCATATTATATATCTTATAAGGGTCTAACATTCAGAATATATAAGGAACTCCTACAACTCAACAACAAAAAGCAAACAATTAAAAATATGAGCTAGACCTGAATAGCCATTTCTCCAAAGAAGACTTACAAATGCTCAACATCATACATTAGTCATTAGAAATACAAATCAAACCCATAACAAAATACCCCTTACACCTACTAGAATGGTTATAAAAACATTTATTAAACACAGAAAATAACAAATGTTGACAAGGATGTGGAGAAATTTAAACCTTCAGACATTGCTAGTGAAAATGCAAATGGTACAAGCTTTATGAAAGTTTGGTAGTTCTCAAAGAAGTTAAATCTAGAGTAAATATGACCCAGCAAACCTACTCATGGGCATACACCCAAAAATAATTAAAATGGGAATTCAAACAGATATTTGTATGCTGATAATCACTGCACAATTATTCACAATAGCCAAAAAATGAAAACAACTCAACTGTCATTGACTGATAAGTAGATAAACAAGTTATGGTATATTTTATTCCATAGAATATTATTCAGCCATAAAAAAAGAATGATGTAATAAATAAATAAATAAATTTTATTTTCAAAATTGAAAAAAAAAAAGAATGATGTTCTGATACATGCTACAATATGGATGAATCTTGAAACCATTATGCTAAGTGAAATACTTCATATACAAAAGGACAACTATTCTATGAATACACCTAAGTGAAGTGCCTAGAATAGTCAAATTTATAGAGACAGGATGTAGACTAGAGATTACCAGTGGTTAGGGGGAGGAGGAAGGAAAGAGTTATTTTTTAACCTGAGGCCCAGTGCACAAATTCATGCACAAGTGGGGTCCCTCGGCCTGCTCAGAGGCCCATCGAAGGGGGACCAGCTAGCTGGGGAAAGGGGCCGTGGGAGGTTGGCTGTGGAAGCGCACTGACCACCAGAGGGCAGCTCCTGAAATAAGCATCTGACCCTTGGTGGTCAATGCACCTTATAGTGACTGGTCGACCACTCATTCTGGTCATTCTGGTTGTTCGGTCATAACAGTCACTTAGGCTTTTATATATATAGATGAGTATAGAGTTTCTGTTTGGGATGATGAAATAGTTCTGAAAACAGGTATCAATGATGGTTACACAACACTGTGAATGTGCTTAATGCAACTGAATTGTACACTTAAAATTATTATTAAAATGGTAAGTTTTATATTATGCATATTTTACCACAATAACAAAGCATGGTTTTTTTCTTCTTTAGAAATAAGTTCCTTACAACCTAAATATACAAATCAGATCACTCTTATAAGCTCCAGGTTTGATTTCCCTGCTGAAAATATACAAACTCAATATTCAAAATTGATGTTATTGCTTAACCAAAACCAAGTCCCTGTTTCCCTCAAAAATGTATTTCTTGTTTTTTCTTCTATAAGTCTTATCTCTGTAATAACTGCATGAAGTCCATTACATTTAGATCTTCTTTAATTCTGTCTTCTTCATTCCTGCAACCAATCAGCTCTTAAATTTTTGTTTTGTTTTTATCAATCATAACTTCTATATAGTCTTTAATTTCCTTCCTCTTTTCTATCCCTCCTGCCAGCCTTAGCTGGGTTATAGTAATAACTTTTCCTTGTTCTGCTGTCTCTCTAACATCCCTCTACAGGGAGTCATCTCTACTTCCACAATCCATCTCTGAAATAGCCACCAAAATGTTCTTGCAACATTTCAAATCTGATAAAGCTATGTCTTTCTTTAACACATTCCTTGATAACCCTTTAGGATATAGTCCAAACTCCCTAACATACAAAGCTGACTTTTCACAACTTGACCAGAACTGCTTTTCCAGACATTCACACATACCCACCAGCAACAGTGACTGCTCACTCGTCTCTACCCATGCTCCTATCTTCCCATGTTCTCTTGCTGTAATTGCTTATCCAAGGAATTCCTAGTTATCCTCCAAAATCCAGCTAAAATGCCAACTCCAATGTAAATCATTCCTCAGTTCCCATTGGAAAGATTAACTGTTCCCTTCTGCTTGGTAGCATTGCATATTATAAGCATTTGCCACATTGTTTTTTTACATCCCTATATCCCCATTCCAGAGCATATATTTCTAAAGGCAGAGACTGAGGCTTGATCCCTCTGGTTTGCTTTTTGTGGTTTTGTTTATTTGTTTGTTGTTTTGGCTAATTATAATTTAGATGAACAAGAGACAACTTCAAGAGAATACTAATTTATTTAAGCCCTGGCAGGTGTAGCTCGGTGGTTAGAGTGCGCTAAAGGGTCTCAGATTTAATTCCCAGTCAAGGACATATACCTGGAATGCAGGATTAATGCCAGAGGTCTCTCCTCTCTCTCTCTCTCTCTCTCTCTCTCTCTCTCTCTCTCTCTCTCTCTCTCTCTCTTACCTTCCTTCCCTCTCCCTCCCTCCTTTCTTCTTTTTCTGAAAAACAATGGAAAAAAATATCTTCACTTTCAACAATAAAGAATTTTTAAAAAGAAAAAGAAAGAATATATTTGGGTGAGGATTAACAAAAAAGAAGTATGTAAAATATCTGTAATGCTGAATGCTCTTTGAACTAATAAAAATAAACAAAAAATATAAAACCTGGGGATTCCTTCTAACTTTAATTCAATGCAAAGATCATAGAAAACCTCATATAACTTCCAAATTGACTGATCCAAGTTTATAAATATTCATTTATTCTGTAAACACTTAACTGTGCATCTGTTACATACCAGACACTGACTAAAGGTAATAAGTCTTCAAGTATAGCTGAACTGTGATTAGGCAGAATTAAAGCAGCTATGTAAAGAAAGCAAATTTAATTAATTGATCTAGAAAATGTACCTTTGCTAACACACAGCACCCAATCACCAGATGGTTTCAAAGATGTCTGAATAATTAACTTTTGCAGCTCCAGAATATAGGTTGTGTTTTCCATGATGCATTATAGTACTCTTCCCCCCCCAAAAAAAAATGTATAATATAATGACAAAATGAACAGGTGGTGTGATATGCTAGAAAAAGCACTGGGTGGGAGTCAGGACCAATATTAACTAGCTGTGTGACCTTGGGGGAATCAATTAATCTGTCATCTTAGCTTCAATTTTATCTATGGTAAAAATGAAGTAGTTGGACTAGAATCTCCAGATCATGGTTCCTTTGTTGCTGTACATAGCATAACCATTATGTGTATCAAAGACCAAAACAGCTCTCCCAGTTGCTGGTTAGGAGCTACAGTCAGGGTGATTGGAAGAGAAAGTGTATAAAGTGATTTCCAAGTTGAAGGCTTACTTAGGATAAACTTGTTTCTATAGAACGTAAAGCATGATAAGTATCCTATATAATAGGAGGCCAATATGCAAATTTTCCCCTTCCACCAGGAGTTCAACGGTGAGTTCAATGAGGAGACGGGGCTGGCTGGCCAACCACTCATGGCCCCTCTCCTGGCAAGCCCCACCCCAGATCAGCCCTCCGCCCCAATCAGGGGCCAGGTCAGGTGGACCCTACCTGTGCATGAATTCGTGCACTGGGCTTCGAGTACTATATAAACAATCAAGCCTTTGCATAAAGCTTTACTTATTTGATATTTTTTCATGTAATTGAAGAGAATTTCTGAGTAACGTTGACCACTAAGGAAAGAAGTAATATGATTAAAAGGAAACTTAAAGAAGAGAATTATCAGGGCTTCACTGGGATCCCTGGAAGGTGTGGAAATGGAGCATGGGCTCCATGGTGGCCACTGACCCAGTCACACACACATCTCCATCCACCACGCCTGTCACCGCTCCTCAAACCACAGGATGCTAGCTGTGTTCTATTTCTTTCTTTTCTTTTCTTTTCTTTTTGTATAATTTTTTACTCTTTATTGCTTAAAGTATTATATATGCCCCTTTTTGCCCCCATTGGCCTCCTCTAGCCTGCCCCTGTGCCCCACCCCATGAAGACCTGGGATGTGTTATATTTCTTGACTTTGGTGACTATTACAGAATGTTCAGTTCATAATTACTTGATTATTTGCATGTTTTGCATTCTGTTCTATGCATCTCAATGTTTTTAATTCTTTTAAGATATGTGGTAATATCCTGAAGGATACTCCCCAAATTTTTAAATTAAGAAGATATGCCACATATGTAATACCTTAATCAATAAAGAAAAGATAAATAAAATAATTTTCAAAAAAGAAGAAGATATGCCTGAGTCACAATTGATTCTGGTAAATAAAATGTGGTTTCTCATGGATTAAATTTATACAGCAGAAAGGGGGAGGGGGGAATAGATCCAAGGATAAATGCATTGTGTGCTTCCTGCCAATAAAAATACAATACTTCCTCGTTGTCATTAATGAAAAATAGCATACACTTCAAGGTTCTGTAGACACCAAAAAGAAAGAAAACACTAAAATGAGTCACCTGTTTTCACATTCAGGGCTGAGAAGCTATATAAACCTCTCCAGCCTTTGAAAGAAAACACCAAAGCAACCATAGGCCTGAAAACCATCCCTGAACCCAGCCATGCAGCTGGCCGTGCTGTGCGCTGTGTGTCTGCTGCCGGGCAGCCTGGCTCTGCCACTTCCCCCCGAGGCAGGAGGCATGAGTGAGCCACAGTGGGAACAGGTGCAGGTATGTCACTGGCCCCATCATCTGGGGCTCCATGGTCTTGCTACCAGCATTAGGGAGTATGCTCTTCCATTTGAGTGATGATTCTATTGTAAAGACAATGTATGTTTTAATCAAGTAGCTATTTAATCAAGTAGCTATCAGGCTCTAGTGCCTTCCCACACTGGGTTCAAGTTCCACCTCCACTCACTATGTAGAGGAATATTATTAGCATAGGACTGTTATGAAATTCCTCTGAGCTTCAGTTTATTAATTTGGAAATCGGATATTATAATGCTATCAACCAAGTGGGGGTCTTGTGAAGCACTTAGCACAGTACCTGAAACATTGTCCCTCATCAAGAAATTGAAGTAATTATTTATTGTAACTTGAAATTCTTTTCATAAAGGCCAGAGAGCTGCCTCTTACAAGGAGGACTACATGTAACTGAGAGACTTGCAATCAGAAAACACGGTAGAAATGACAGCTCTGACACCTTCAAGCGTGATGATGAGCAAGATATGAACTTTTGACTTAGTTTTCTCATGTGTCTAATAGAAATATTCATACTATAAATATCTTACTATGTGTTTTATAGTTCACAGGATTATTATAATGAATAAATGAAGTAAGAATAATGCCAACTATCATGTAACAATTGTAAAGAACTTTATATATGTTATGTCATTTAATCCTTAGCTCACTCCTGGGAAAAGTAAGGAACCAACATTAAACACTTGGTGAATACTGGTGGAGAATCAAAGATGAGTTTTGATAGGCATCAAGGACAAGCTTTTCTGGTTCAAAATCATGTTCTCTCCAATATACTACTACTTCATAGCAGCCTCATAAGTGTAAATAAGTATTATTTGGTAAAATAATGGGATGTTTACTCTTAAGTGCTATTTATAAATTTAAGCCTTAAACATAAGAAATGTGAGGTTTTATTTCACATTAACTTTGACTTTTAGAACTCTCACTAATATGATAGGTGAACCATAAAAAATTACTGATATTTTATTGTGTGTTTTTTACTTCCAAAAGAGCCATTTCATAGGGTTTCACCCAGTGGACTGTTTAGAAGGTGGACACTTGCAAATATATTGAATCCCTAAGCTTTATTTAGTGTATAGGTTACCAATAAACCAGAATGTGGTTCGCTAGGTTTGACAGAAGGCAGAAACATTCACATCAAGGATGCAGAGAAATGTCCTCCAGAGGGTGTCTTGGCAAAGCTTGTAGATCTGGAATGGATAAAATAAGTTGTTTGTTTTTTAAATGAGATTAAATCCTAACTGTCATGGATGAACATGCAATCATTGGTAACAGGAAAAGAGAGCACACTTTGAATGACATGCCATCACTGGTAACAGGAAGAGAGCACACATATTACTAAGGTTACTCACGTAAAGTGTATACTCCTGAGAGGTTCTGAGGCAGGTCACCACTTCACCTACTCCAAATTAGACTGTCAGTGAGTGAGCCAATGTTTAAATTGTTTCAACAATACTTTCATGTATTAGAAAGCCCAGCGCATTTTTTCTAAGGAAGCGGGCTTTGGAATCAGAATACAAGTTCAAATACTGCCTCCTTCAGTCACTCAAGGGGTGAACTTGCTTCTCTGAGCCATGATTCTTCGTGTAAATTAGGAATAACAGTGCAGGACCTACTTCACAGGGTGGTTGTGAGGTTTAAATGAGATAAGTATGTAAAGCTCCTAGGGTAGTCCTGCCACTAGTAAAAGCTTAAGAAGCGTTCTTGTGAGGCCACAGCTGCCGCTGTTGTTGCATTCACTTTTTTACTTCTTTACAGTAGCTGTCCTCATATCCAGACACCAGGGTCCCTTAAGAAATGCCCAGAGACCAACTGTGTGAGGAATACTCCGGGAGACCTGCTCTATCCTGCAGCCTCACCGTGGGTCTTACCGGAGATTTAACAGCGGAAAGAACACAGGACTGGCAGTCAGGAAACTCAGTGCCAGTTCTGTAACTAGTTAGGTTTTTTTGTTTTGTTTTGTTTTGTTTTGTTTTGTTTTGTTTTATTCTGTTTCTCATTCAATATATGACCCCAAGCAAGTCATTTAGTTGCCTTTCATTTCTTCACCTGGAAAATACGTACATTAAGCTAAGTAATTTTACAATGTCCTTTCCCAGGACTAAAACTTTAACACCCTTTACCATAGGTGGGACCAAATCTCCAGAGAGTCTTAGAAGGAAGTGGTGGTTGATTTGGTCTCTGATGCCAGGGAAGGCCCCTTGAGGAAATAGTCACTCTTCCTGATTGGCTATTATAGACGAGTCTATGTTCTATAAAGTGTACAGGGGGCTTCTCTTCAGAGCAGGTTAGGGGATGAAAGAGAAATGGAGGTACTTTTTCCTTTTTGCTCATGAAATAGAATGACAATGCTTCATTATCGATATTAAATTTTATTCTCATTAATGCACAGTTATTTTACTTGGTGACTCTATAAGTACTGTGTTTTCAAACCACTGTTTGAGTCCGCAGGTATCAAGGCAAAGACATGCAGACTTCTAAGATAAAAGACAACAAACAAAGATTACAAATCAATTACTCTCTTTCCAACAGAGCTATCTCAAGATATTTTATCCATACGACTCAAAAACAAGGGATGCCAACAGTTTAAGAGCCAAACTCAAGGAGATGCAAAAATTCTTTCACCTGCCTATAACTGGGATATTAAACTCTGACATCATAAAAATCATCCAGAAGCCCAGATGTGGAGTACCAGATGTTGCAGAATACTCACTATTCCCAAATAGACCGAAATGGACTTCCAAAGTAGTCACCTACAGGTTAGTATTGCTTTGGTCATTTAAACGAAAACAGTGAAGCCCTTCTTAAGAGGTCAAACATTGTTTTCTTTTTTGCTACCAGGATCATAACATATACTCGAGACTTACCCCGCTTCAAAGTGAATCAGCTAGTGGAAAAAGCCTTTGCAATGTGGAGCAAAGAGATCCCTCTGCAATTCAAGAAAATTAAAACAGGAATTGCTGATATCATGATTGGCTTTGCAAGAGGAGGTAAGGAAGATTCCTGTAGCTAATCCGCAATGCTACTTTACTCGTTGTTTATACAGCTCCTTTGGTACATTTAGAGCCATTTGCTATGGCAGAGGATGGCAAACTATGGCCCATGAGCCAAATCCAGCCCACCACCTACTTTTGCAAATACATTTTTATTACAACACAGCCATAATCCTTCATTTACCTATTGTCTGTGAGTGCTTTGGGGCTACAATGGCAGAGTTTAATTGTGATAAGACCATCAAGCCAACAAATCCTAAATTACTGACCATCTAGCCATCACAGAAAAAGTTTACCAACCCCATTTCATAGAATTAATCAACACGTGTGTGTTGCACACACACACACACACACACACACACACATTTATGGAACAGTTTAAAACATATTGAAAGCGTACTGGAAATGGGAATTTAAATATATTCACATCTAATTTATGGTTGCTTCTAAGTTTCTCACTTTGGTCAGATGATAGCAGGATGACAAATGAGTGTGAGAACTACACTCAAGTAACTTGTGTACCTTTTAGTATAACCTTTCTTAAAAACCTAGCTTAATTTTTGTGTAGACCATTTCTGGAGAACCATGTTCAAGGTGTCTTAAATGGATTTGAATGTGATGCAGATGTATTTATTTTCAAATTGATATCAGGCCATATCAAGTTTATCTGTTCTTGAAAAACATGGAATGTGATGATCAGTGCTTTCTGCACATTCTCTTCAGTGTTATCAGTATTGTGGTGGTTGTTCAATTTCAGCCAAATTCACAGGCATTTCAGCAGCCAGATATTTCAATATTAGAACAGAATGAAAAGAGAAATATTTTGAGGAGGAAGGATAGCCCAATGTGTTTCTCTCACATTGATGTTTCTCTCAAGCACGTGTGTGCGCTCCCTCCTTCCTTCCTTCCACTCTCTCTGAAAAATCAGTGAGAAAATATCCTCAGGTGAGGATTAAAAATAAATAAATAAATGAAATGAAATGAGTGGAGATATATTCAGTCACTAGGGCAATCGCTCTATTTTCTTCCAGCTCACGGGGACGGCTCCCCATTTGATGGACCAGGAAACATACTGGCTCATGCCTTCTCACCTGCACCACGCCTAGGAGGAGATGCCCACTTTGATGAGGATGAACGCTGGACTGATGGTACCAGTATAGGTACAGCATCCCACCTCTCTTCTACTGCATCCTTTTTAAAATCCAGGACTTCTTATACTAACTTTAATTTAATATTTGCTTTGATTTTAATAATTCGTGAGCCCTTAATAAATGCCAACCACTGTACTATGTGACTTAAATGTGTAGTTTTATTTATTGTGCCCATAATGTTACATATACTGAAGACAGAATCTCAGGCTATGAGTCAAGCAACATTGGGGTCACTTGACTATACCTCTACTAACGACTCTCATGCATCTTTTAGCAAGTTATTCATTTCCTGAGCCTGTTTCCTCATCTGTAAAATGGGACTATAAATAATTCCCATCTTGCCGAATTTTTATTTGAATTGAATGAGATAATGCTTATACATGGTTTGGGTAATATTAGTAATTCAATAAATTATACCTCTGTCTTTATGTTCCCTCCAAACTTAAGTTTTTCGATTGAAGGAAAAAGAGGAGCAGTGACTATGATATTTTAGAATTATATACAATTCTGAATATTTGCTATTGTTTAGAAAGAACCCACCCCATCACCCAGCCCATCATATTCACCATCTTACAAAATAGGAAATCAGACATGTTAGAAAACTAATGGAGAGCAGCTCTGGCATAAATAATTCTAATTGGAGACAACATTAAAAAAATAAAAATAAATAAAAACTACTTCTGTTTGGCAGTGGGAATTCACCACTTCAGTGATGCTTTGCTGTGAAAAGCTAACCTATGTAAAATTACGACTGTCTTCACTTCATATCTTGCATGTCTTTCTCATTCTCCTTTCTTTCCACTCAAGATAGGCTAAAGGCAGCTTCCTTCAGTCTAATGCACCACAGTGGAACTCTGGCCACGCAAACTCTCAGGCTCACACACTCCCCTTATTTGAAAAGCTTTTCTATAAGTCTGAGAGAGAGAAAAGCTTATGTATAATACAATTTAATAAAAAACAAAACCCAGCATTTCCTAGAGATCCTGCCTTCCAGTCTCGCTTTTACAAAGCCAACTTTCTTTCTCCTGCTACTCAAAGCCACTACCACTTATTGAATAGCCATTTGTTTTCAGATACTGGGAAACTCTCAATATTTTGATAAATCTAAAAGGCAGGAATTACTATCTTTATTCAAAAAATGAGGAAATGAGATTCAGTAATATATTAATGTGTCCAGAGTCATCCTGCTAATAAGCAGCAGAGCTGGGTTGCAAAACCAAATCTTTTTTTTTAAATATATTTTATTGATTTTTTACAGAGAGGAAGGAAGAGGGATAGATAGTTGGAAACATCGATGAGAGAGAAACATCAGCCAGCTGCCTCATGTACAGCCCCTACTGGGGATGTACCCACAACCAGGGTACAAGCCCTTGACCAGAATTGAATCTGGGACCCTTGAGTCCACAGACCGATGCTCTACCCACTGGGCCAAACCAGTTAGGGCTCAAACCCAAATCTTAATGCTTCTAAAGCCTTTGCTTTCCTCTATAGAATACTGCCATTTGAGTGATGATATAAGAAGCAAATAGACACAAAAACATTACTTAAAAAAAAATAAACACAGAAGGCCAAACCTGGTTTGGCTCAGTGGATAGAGCATCAGCCTGCAGACTGAAAGATCCCAAGTTTATTTCCGGTCAAGGGCATGTACCTTGGTTGCAGGCACATCCCCAGTGGGGGTTGTGCAGGAGGCGGGTGATGGATGTTTCTAACTCTATCTTTCTTCTATCTTTCTCCCTTCCTCTCTGTAAAAAATCAATAAAATATATTTTTTTAAAAATTAAAAACCACAGAAGTAGTGATGAGATTAAAATAATACTATTCTGTTCTTCTAAACCCTCCCCCTCCTTATGAAAGCCTTAAAGCAAATAAGTAAACTTTGAAGGTAGGTATTTTTATAACTGCCTTATTTATTATTACATATTATATTATATATCTAGTTATTTTCATCAGTACTGTTTGTTGCTCTTTGGCTGTAGGAATTAACTTCCTGTTTGCTGTCACTCATGAACTTGGCCATTCTTTGGGCCTGGGTCATTCGCCTGATCCGAAAGCTGTGATGTATCCAACCTATGAAGACAGAGATGCCAAGGATTTCAAACTGTCACAGGATGATATCGAAGGAATTCAGGACTTATATGGTAATATCTATGATTTCAAGAATGGAGGATTTCACATTGTCTCCTTGGAGCAGGCTTGAGTGAGAAAGACTGGGAAATGGGTATTTATTTGGTAGAACACACTGGAACTTACATTAAAAGTCCATTGAGGAAAGAAACTTGAGACCTTAGATACTCAAAATTTAACCAGACTGTTTTGTACTATGAGGATATTGATTTTTAAGTTTTTAGTAATATTCTTTTGAGAGAGAGAAACAGCAATTTACTCTTCCACTTACTTATGCATTCATTCTTTGGTTGCTTCTTGTATGTGCCCTGACCAGGGATGAAGCCAGCAGCCTTGGCTTAGGGGGACCATGATCCAACCAAACAATTTACCTGGCCAGAGCTACTTAGTCTGTTTCCAAAAGTAATTTGGGAAGAAGAATACAGAATGGTATTTTTAAGTCCACAATATAACCAAACCTTTCCAGAAAAATAGCAAGATGATAAGAATGCAGTGCAAAGAGTTCACCTAAGTATCTCTGAATGATCAGAAGAGCAATGAATGTGCTTCCACATAAGAATGTCCGTAGGGGGAAATTATTCCAATAAGATAATGGAGTAAGCTGTCCATTGAAACTAGAATTTACTACCAATCCGCATTTCCCAATTTTTTCCCCCTAGAATGCTAGTCTACCAGACCATTTTTTTAAATGCTATGGAGAAACAAATTAAAAACCCTACCTACTGTATTTAAGGTGCATTGGATATTAAAAGGGTACCTAACAAAATCTGGCTTAACACAATGATTCCTAAATTATAATCTTCTTTTATGGAACACCAATTGTGCTCTCACAGAACAGCATTTGAGAGAACTTGTTTTGAAAAAAACACTATGGAACTATACCTTCAAGTTGTGACTCAAAGAGCTGCTGCTCTCTAAAAAGTTCACAAAACACTGACAATTATTGGTAAGGTTATCGCCAACAAAACAAAAAAAGTGCCTCCCCTTATATAAACCTGTGGGATCCATGGAATACTCTATGGCATGTATAACTGTTTTAGAACCCAAAGAAAATTAGAAAGGGACTTTAAAAAAGATTCTGAGGCAGACTAATTAGAGGAAAGCAGACAAGTATATTAAATCCTTAAGTATTAAAGACAATGAGGTGTCTGCCCCTAGGCAAAGTTGAGAAGAGGTAACTTGTGGAGAGGGTGCAAAGTAGAGGGGGTCAATGGGGAAACAGGGGGACATCTATAATACTCTCAATAATAAAAATAAATTTGAAAAAAGAAAAGTTGTAACTTCTGGACAAATGTAAGTAATATTTAATTATATAGGTTTTAAATTTAGGGAATTCATTAATCCAAAAAGTGATACAAACAGAAAATATAAATTCAAAAGAATGTTATTAAACTCATAAATGTGAAATTATCCAATGCTTTTCTCAGAATATTAAAATAATAGCTGAAATGCTCCGAGTATTTACAGTGTACCAAGCACTCATGTGCATTAACTCATTTATTCCAACAATTCAAGGAGTTGCTATAATCCTCATTTTACAGATTGGTAATCTAGCATTAAAGGAGGCTAAATAGTGATTTGCCCAAAATTATACAGCTGGCAAAATGGCAGAGATACCTGACCCCCAGGTCTATATCCTACACAAAATTGCCTTTTTAGCCTTTGGGGGTTGTCCTTCAAAACCTTTGTCCCAGGCACAGAAAACTGGGTTGGGTGAATGATCAATTATACACAATTATGACATATCTTGAGTTTTTATAGTCTTAGGATAATTTTTATGTGTTTTATACCATGTCAAAAATATTTTTATTTTCTCTCTTAACAGGAAAGAGACGTGACTAAAGAATTAGAAACTTCAGGGAGAACACACATTCATTCATTGGATTCTATATCATTGTTCCTCAGCCAGAATTAAGGACCGCTGTTCCTACACTCCATTTAGCACTTATTTCATCTTTCCTTGTATTGTGGTTGACTTTTGCATGTCTCTCTCCCTTTGGAGATAAGCTCTTTTATAGCACAATTGTATCTTACTTATCTAAGCAACTTATACTTAGAAGATGTCAATGAATGTTGAAACAAATAAATATAATTTTTTTTCATAGTAAAATGATTTATATTTGGGAGGACTGTTTCTATGTCAAGAGAAGACATGCTATGCAATGAAATCAAAGAGTAAAACTAAAAAAAATACCCCACACATTATTTTGAGCTTCAGCTGCACCCCACCCTACCACCAGGTAGGTAAGGAGAGAGCTCCAACCCTTTATTGTTCATTAGTGTGGCCGAAAGGTACACTCAGAGTTCCTTATCCTTGGGCCCAAGCACCAAGTATTCTAGAAAAGCTGATTCTTCCCACAAAATGTATGTGAATTTCCAAGTTTTTACATTCCCACAGTCACTTCTGGCTCCATGTTCCTACCCCTGACCTCCTGATTTCATGGCCTCTCTCCTGCCACAGCTGCTCTGTGTTCCCTTTCCTCTGCCTCATACCAACCAAGATATCAGTTTCACCCTCTTCTCTTTGACTTCCTCCAAATGAGTCCCACAGGCTTTGCAAGACTACTGACATTGTTGAAGATTTGCATCAACAGTGATATTTTATATTGCATACATACAATTAATTTAATGAAAATAAAACCAGATATGATCCCTATCCTTCCAATCCCTTACCTTTCCAGCATTGGAAGTCTCTCGCTGGCCACTTACCTCTCTGCAGGCTCTGAAGTCCTACCACATCTCTCCCTAAGCCTCAAGTCTCTGGACTCCATTCATTCTGACTTCCCCCACAAATTTGTTTTCCTAAGGTCCACTCAGCTCCAGCACCCCTTTCCGTACACAGAGACTCACTAATGTGTTTCTCTGGAAGAATCACTCTCTAGGCAGGACTAAAACTCTTTAGCAGGACACACAGCTGGCAAAGTTTTGCCATTTCAGTCTTTCTTCCTCTTCTCCATTTCCCACACCCATGCATAGTTTTCTCTATAAATAGAGGAATAAAGAATTGGAATTTACTTTCTTACTAATATAAATTACACACACACACACATACTACCACCAAAGCCATTAGAAAACCATTCTAGGGATAGATCCAATGAAGGGGCAAGTCTATAATTTAAGCAAAATATGAAGTGTGTGTGTATATATATATATATGAATTCAAAGACCCTTTGACAACCTAAGGTAGGAAGCAAAATGAAAAGGAAGTTGGAAGTCATTAAATTCAAGTTCCTCGTTTTATAGATGACAAAACAGATGAAGAGATGTTAAATGATTTCAATCAGGTTTTTGTAATCAAATGTAGACGTGATTAAAGCAGTGGTTCTCAACCTTTCTAATGCCGCAACCCTTTAATACAGTTCCTCATGTTGTGGTGACCCCCAACCATAAAATTATTTTCGTTGCTACTTCCTAACTGTAATTTTACTTCTGTTATTACTTTGTAATATAATTATCTTTTTCCGATGGTCTTAGGCTCTACAGTAGCGGTTCTCTGAGAACACAGATATTTACATTATGATTTATAACAGTAGCAAATTACAGTTATGAAGTAACAATGAAAATCATTTTATGGTTGGGGGTCACCACAACATGAGGAACTGTATTAAAGGGTCGCAGCATTAGAAAGGTTGAGAACCACTGGATCAAAGCATATTCTTTTGTTTGTTTGCCTGTTTGCACTTTGGTTTGGGGCAGCCTAAGGCACTATATATCTTGCAGTTGAAATGGATATTGTTTTTCCCTACCCAACCTCCTTTCATCCTACCTTGGAGGATAGGGGCTGTATGCCCTCTCATCACTTGGGATGCCACAAGCTGACTGGCCTGTTAGGGGAATACAGAACCCAAGTTTGGCCTAATAGACACTCCACTGAAAACATTGAAGCGAATCCATCCCGGCAATGGGTTCTGGAGATACTACTTATTCATTCCTGCACCCAAATAGATCCCTGAAGCTGTCCCGGATGCTGTCCACAGACAGCGTGGGTGCAAGGCATCTCTTCCAGATTTTGCAATGGACTGCATTACCTCCTAATACATTTTTTCCTCTTTTTAAGTTAGCCAGCATTCATCTATGTCCATTGTTTACAGATCCCTAACATGGTAGCTAGACTAGCTCTCCTATGGTATCTGAGACATGAGCTCTGTGATATATCTCACCCCATACTCCAACCTTAATAATAAGGTAAGCTCTAACTGAAGCAGAGACATTACATTTTTATTTATATCAAAAGAGTATAAAGTTGACTTATAAATAGAACTTTTCCCTAAACTGTCATGACCCATGTTTTTTTGTTTTGTTTTGTTTTTTTGTTTTAAGTGCTAAAATACATTCAAATTTACCATCTTGGAATTACCATCTCAACCATTTTTAACACTCAGTACAGTAGTGTTAAGTATGTGCACATTGTTATGCATAAGTAAAGGTTCTTACACATAACATTGTTGGCTTGACCAACTGGATAATTATTTACTGGAGTCTGTCCTGTGCATCTTTGAATACTAAGCAGTATCCCTGGCCTCTCCCCACTAGATACCAATAGACATCCTCAGTCGTGGCAACCAGAGACGTCTTCAGATATGCCAAAGAAATGTCAGTGCCCCAATGTTGTAAATGACACTAATCCATGAAATCCCAACATCTGGAAACCACTTCAACAGGCTACAAAGGCAGGGAAGGGTAAGGAACTCTCAAGATGAGATTTTTTTTTTCTAGGAAATCAATTAAAATGTCTGTCTTATGCATTATGAATTCTCCCATGCATAATCCTTCAGAAAGGACCGGAGGCCAGTACTAGTTGACAAGCCTATAAAAAATATTGACCAACTTACCAAGGTAGAAATAGCAAAGTACAAAGAGAAAAATTTCAAGGTTACATGGGTTTTTCTTTACCATGATTATCTAGATGTGTATTTGCAACATATTTTTAAAAAGTAATAAACATTCAGATATGTCATCAACAATGAATCTTTGTAAATAAATCAGATAATTACAATTTATTCTGAGATCTACACAGAAAACACTTTTCTCATTTAGCCACTCATTTAGCCATCATTCCTTGAATCAGGACCTGGGGGAGTGAAGAATGCAAAGGTGAAAGGCACATAGAACCCTCCTTCAAGAACCCCAAAGTCTAATGAATAAAGCAGATACTCAAGAAACTATTATAATACAACAAATTGCTATAATAAAAATTATGCAATGTGATGGAGAGAAAGATCTAATATTGGAATTCTAAGTTATTTTAATGAGTTTCTGAACTACATTCTACAAATTCTAGAATACCACATATAACAACAAATCCAAAACTCCAGTTTGATAGTTAAGTATTCTGGATGAGTAAGTTTTCTCTAACAGGCCTGAAACACCTATCTGACTATTCAAACCTTTCTCAGGACTATGATGTATCCTAAGATTTCACAGACTCCAGATCTGCACCGTGGCCTAGAGGCTCTCCACACCTGCTCTACTCCTTCCCCTTACAGCCTTCTAGGTCTAGTGAAGGATCCTGAGGAATAAATTTCTCCTATGTCTAACCTCATTGTGGCATCTGCTTTTTTTTTTTTTTTTTTAGAAGACCTGAATTAACCCAAGGTGAGTTCCAATTATTTATCAATGCATTAGAAGCTACCCTAAATAGTGGCTTACCAAAATCACCATTTTATTAAATATCATTATTTTGCGAGTCAGGATTCAGGTAAAACTTTTGTTTCCTGTGACAGGTAATTGGTTTGGAGGGTCCAAGCTGGCTTCACTCACATCTGCCTCCTGGTGTAGATGGCTGGCAATCTAGGCTCAGCTGGGACGGTCAACCGGTCAACCGTAGTGCCTGCATGTGGCCCCTCCAGCATGGAGACCTTAAGGTGATCAGACTTCACACATGATGGCTCAGGGCTGCGAGAGCTTGTTACCACATGCAAGGAGAAGCGGCCTCAGAAGTCACAGAGTACCCCTTGTGCTATACTCTACTGTCAGAGGAATCACAAGCCACCCAGAGTAAAGATCCTGAGGGGATACACAATCTCCATACAAGTGCGAAGATTTTCCAGTCATGCTTTCAAACTGCCACAGGGGGTCACCCTTTCTCCTAAAAAATAAATCTACATTGAAACTAGAGGACATCTGTTCATTCTAACTGAACATAGAATTGCTATAATAAAAATGTTGTTTGAATCAACAAAAGTAAGTTCTAGTTTGCATCCTCTTTGCCATCGCAAGCCCAGAAGTCAGTGCCCCAGCCAACAGAACGGGAATTCAGAGTTAGTGCTTTACTGTTCAGGTGGCAGGTGGAGTTATAGACCGTGACCCTCGTGACCACAGCTGTTATTTTGGGAGTGAATTTTATAATTTCTGCAAGAATAGAAAGCTGTCACGCATCACAAGCCCTTATTTGCATCTTATTCATTGATCATTCTAGTGTGTGGAAGAGTAACTGGATTACTAGTGAGGATAAAGAGGATGGGAAGTTGCACTTTGGCCTGACTTCTGGCTAAGGCACAGCTGTGATCGACCTTTGCAGCTTTTATTGGTGAGGGAGAAACTCAGCCTTCTGATTACCAAAGGGTAGTGCATTAAACTTGAAGGAACAACACTTTCTCTTATATGTTATCTTTTGCTGAGAATTTTCCTAGGGTTACAGACTTTAGGACCAAGCACCTGTGATTCTCCTTGGTTACAAAATAAGGGTGCACTCATCTCCTTGGTGATTGTCAAGTTTTTGTGTGTGTGCATATGTATAGGCTAAACATTTACTGAAAAAGAAAACTTGTGAACTACCTTGACATCATATAAATGCATCTGAGAGTCTTCTTTTCTTGCCTCTCAAATTAGTAAATTTACCT